ACCCGCGCCCCTAGCGACTTGCTTGGGGCTCCGTGCGGCGGGTGGTGGGGCCAGGCGGGAGTGAGGGGGCGACCCGAGTCAGCCAGCCTGCGCCCAGTGCCCCAGAGGGCTCGGTGTCTCAGGGCGACCGTCCCCAAACCTGCGCTCTTCAGGGAAGGAGCGAGAGAGAGGGCGACAGACAGACATGACATTTATTAGATATGTCTACCCGTAGGTACATACCTATTTCAGGATGAGTTTGTGTTCGCTCTTTGTTCCACGAAGTGTACTTTGTTTGTTTTTCCGGACACGGGAATATTTGCTCTTCCTGTGAAAGTGAAGATCGGGGCGGACCGAAGAGAGAGAAGGCAGCTTTGCCATTAATGAGGCTTGGAGAGGAGAGAGAGAAAGCCAGCTGCAGAATTAATAGGAAACATTATTTTCCCCCAGCTCATGCAGCCGTTCTAAAATGCCGTGAAGGCTTTTGCTTTGAGAAACTCCCGCTTTCTCAACAAGGACGTGCTCCAGACCCTCTTTGCCATTTTTATTTTATGGCCGGGGAGACCCAGTTGCTAAATTACCCTCTCTTCATGGTGACTCTCAATCTCCAGTTAATCCTTGCCTCTACTAACCTCCCTTCAGAAACAGCGACCATTCCAGAATTGTCCCCCTGCATCCCCAGTCCTTCAGTTGGTACTCAACTCTGCAGGAGAGCTGTTCTCTCCTCCATCGCATTCCAGCCATTCCTGTGGAATTCCTTCCCTTTCTTGAGTAAATAAATCTGACTATACAGGCTTGTTCCGTGTAGAGTTTTTAACAGAGAGGTCTGTGTTAACAAGAGAAGGGATTATTAGTAGAAGGGAAACAAAGATGTTAGTAGAAATTTCAAAAGAGGTTCAAAGTGTTTGACAGCGTGAGTTTGTTTCAGGCCACATATTTACGTGGTTTTAAGAGAGGCAGTGTTTTGTAGTGGCAATAATATAGATTATGGAACTAGATTACTAGGGTTCTAAGGCCTAAACCTGTCACTTAGAACTGAGTGAACTTGGGGTATTTTATTTTATCTCTGTGCCACAGTTTGCTCATCTGTAAAAAGAAGGTAATGATAGAGCCTGCTGTATAGGATCGCTATAAATAGATGTAAAGTCCTCAGATAATGGTTGACACAATGTTCAGTAGGTTTTGTTACTATTATGTTGTGATACCATATTTTTCTCATCCAAATCCGAAAATCGTGAGGATTTTACCACATCCGTGTCATCCATCCATGTACCCCCCTTTGTAAATTGTTAATCGGGGAATTGCCTCTCGACATGAGGCTTTGAAACTTAGCAGTTAGCATTTTAAGAAAGAGCAGGGCTTAGAAGCTCAATTTTTTGATGGGAAAAAAAGCAGAAGAAAATTTAATGATTATACAAAAATATATTCTTCATCTTCAAAGATATAGCTGCCTTTCGCTAAATGCCTATTTGCTGCTTTAAGTGCTTTTATATGTAATGTCTTATTTAATCCTCACAATGGCCCTTTGATATAGGATCTGTAGTTATCACCATTTTATACAGGACGAAACTGAGGCTAAAAAATTGAGTAACATGTCCAAGATCACACAGTAACTTTCAGAGCTGAGATTTATATCCCGGAAATCTGGCAGCAAGCCTATATGTGTCATCACGACAGTATACCGAGTCTTATCACTACATATACTTAAAATCCTTCCTACCTTAGTAATTCATCGTAATGGAGGGAGGAGATATTAATCCAAGGACAGCAAGCACTGTTGAGTTATGTCCAGATTGTACTGAAGCTCCGGGGTCTCTGTGACGGGAAATGGGTTTCATACAGTAAGATGTATGCCTTAACAGTTTTCATTTTAGCGATGAAGTGTGCAAGGTGAGACTAGGAAGACAAGAAGATCCTGCAGCTGTTGGGGTGCTTCACAGGCATCTTAGCCCAAAGGGTTGCTTCAGAAGTAAAAGAACCCCATTTGTCAGGAAGAGGAAGCAGCAGGGAGACTGCCATCGGTACCGAAAGTATAGATCAGAGACTTTCTGCCAAATTTTCTACATAGTACTGCAACACACGTGGGCAAATTAAATCATAGAGTTGGTTCATGAATTGGAAGCTGAAATTAAAATGTCACTCAGGAAAAATAGCAGCTGTTTTTAAAGTATTCTGGGCTGCTTTTCTTAGTTCAACAGAAGACTCAAAACCTTGATGTGGGTAGTCTCTGGAGTATTCATATACTTCAGGTTCACACTATATTTAATATCCCTGGCTGTCACTGTAAACATTTTAACTGGTCCTTCTAGGTATACGTGTGATTTTTTTAAACAGCTTCACTCATTTCATCGAAATT